ATTATATGAAACCCACCTCTGGACACATCACCTCCCAGTTGGAAGATGGAGTGGCTGCATTCGCACAACCTGCATTGCCAGAATGCGCAAAGCGTGGCATCTTTCAAACTCAGGTTATGCTCCCAGAAATCGTGGTTTAAGCAGGAACCTGTGCTGGTAGGAACAGAAACACAAGGGAACCTTTCCCTGCCTCTGAACAAAAAGTGGGGGGCACAGACACCTGTAGATTTGGGGGCAGGGTACTGTATTCCCTTGTGTTACTATTGAGGCTCTTCCAAAAATCATTAGGCTGGGATTTTGTAAATCAGTAGAATTGGGACAAGGGGCCTATTAACTTTTCAAATGAAAGAGTCTCTGGTGGGGATTGGAGGCCAGTTGTATTTATTTTAATTGGTTAATTAGCCAATCAATCATTGAAGGGCGCAGCAATTAATCAATCATGTGTCTCTGTTGTTGGCACTGCCCATTGAGGGAAGGAGGGAGGGAGGGAGGGAGGCAAGCGGACAGGAAGGAACGGAAAAAAGGAAGGAGAGGGAGAAATAAAGAAGGGAGGGAGGGGGGAAGGAAGGCAGGAAGAAACACAGGAAGGAAGGAGAAGGAAGGAAGGAAGGAGGAAAGGAAGGAGAAGGAAAAATAAAAAAGGGAGGAAGGAAGGAAGGAAGAAAGGAAGGAAAGAAAAGAAGAAGGAAAGGAAAGAGAAGGAGAAATAAAGAAGGGAGGGAGGGAAGGAGGGAAGGAAGGAGGAAGAAATAGACAGGAAGGAAGGAGGAAGAAGGAAGGAAAAGAAGAAGGAAAGGAAGGAGAAGGAGAAATGAAGGGAGGGAGGGAGGAAGGAAGGAAAAGAAGAGAAAGGAAAGAGAAAGGAGAAGGAGAAATAAAGAAGGGAGGGAGGGAGGGAAGGAAAGAAGAAATAGACAGGAAGGAAGGAAGAAGGAAGGAAAGGAAGAAGGAAAGGAAGGAGAATGAAAAATAAAGAAGGGAGGGAGGAAGGAAGGAAGGAAGGAAAAGAAGAAGGAAAGGAAAGAGAAGGAGAAATAAAGAAGGGAGGGAGGGAGGAAGGAAGGAAGGAAGAAGGGAAGGAAGGAAGAAGGAAGGAAGGAAGAAGGAAGAAGAAAGAAGGAGAAATAAAGAAGGGAGGGAGGGAGGGAGGAAGGAAAAGAAAGATAGGGAAAGTCGACAGAGAATTGCTCCTGAATCTTCTTGATGTTTAGCTGAGACAGATTAATGCCATTCTCTTGTGATCGTGTCAGTTTATCCACAGTGCCCCAGGTTGATAAAATCTGAATTAAATCGTGATACACCCCCACACCCCCAATGGAAGGAACATAAACTGAAAAAACGCTGCTTTCCTACCCTACTTCCCCCCGCACCACCCCCCCCCACCCCAAAATCATTGAATTATTTTCTGAAGGAAAAATATGCTTTCCCAAAACAGAAAAGGGTTACAGATCAGCCCAGCAGTGAGTCCCGATCAGGGTGTCCAAAGTAATTAATAATCACGGTTTCTTATTATTTTTATTTTTCAGAACGCGAGGCCTATAATCCCCTTTAGGATTGGGATTCTGAATTTCCTCCCCCCCTCCCCAATTGTCTCCCTCCGTCTATTTATCCTCGGCGTCCCCTCTGGGCCCTGCAGTATTTCTCACTAAACATTTCTCATTCTCCGGCATTCCTCCCCACTTCCATTTTGGTCTCTTTAGGGCATCTTAAAAGATGTCGCTGCCAAGATTTTGCACTCCAGACGGCAGGCCGAAACAGATTTACGCTTATTTTTAAAGGCAGATAAATAAATGGCTATTCTTTTTTCTTACAAAGCGAACAAAGCCGGCTGTAATAATACAGAAAAGTCGTTCTTCCCGGCTTAATGTTAACGGCAACGGAAAATTTAGGAGATAGAGAGAGATAGAGAGAGAGATAGAGAGAGATAGAGAGAGGGAGGGAGGGAGGAAAAAAAGTGTCAGAAAGCTCCCGAGAATAATGTCACTTCTGTGTTAATTAACTGATTTCAAAGAAGAGCATCGCCATCATCGGGCTGTGCACCAGAAAGTCTTTGTGTCCGGCACTTTGTATTTTTTGAAATAAAAGGAAGAAAAAAATTCTCGACGGCTCTTTGCGTCTTCCAAAGAAAGGCAAGGAGGACTCCGTGCCATTTAGGCCGTCAATAATCTGGAGAGAGTTCTTACAAACCCGCTCCCCAAAAGCCAGTTTCAGAGGCCTTCCTTTCTGCCGATTTTGATGGGGCGTCCCCACGGTGCCAAGCAAGCTGGTCTCCGGACTCCGTCCTTAAGCTAACGAGAAGGTTCCACCCGCCCCCGCTTTGGTGGCGAGACCAAGCATTCTCTGTCAGGGGTGCTTCACGTTTGCCTGGAAGCAGGGGGTTGGACTTGATGGCCTCGCGGAACCCTTCCACGTCGACGATTCCATTCTAGCATCGTTCACGGGGGTGGCCGAGACCACGGATTTTTAAATCCAGCAGGGTTTTAAGCTCCGCATAAAAAGGCGCTTTAGCGACCAGCCGATCTGTCCTGGAGAGTTTTATCCATCTCACCTGTATTTAGAAACATCCACCTGGCTGTAGTTGGACCAAAAAAAAAAGGGGGGGGGGTTTGGAAGAGCTGGCTAGAATCTCTCCTGGCCAGATACCTCAATGCCCTTCTGTTGGGTGATATGATGCCAACCTTCAAGGTGTGCTTCTGAACACCAGGCCTGGATGTCTGCGGCACCAACTTTTGGCAAAAAAACGCGAAAGGCTGGCAAAGTAAACGGCAGGATCGGCAGCTGAGCAACCTGCTTTCCAGCTAGGTAAAAAGAGCGTTTCTTCCATGGATGTGGGGGGGAAATAATGCTCAAGTTCAAAATAATGAATAATGTGCCTTCGGACGTTGTGGGCACTCCATCGCTGGAGGTTTTTAAGAAAAAGACTACACAGCCACCGGTTTGAAATGGTGCAGCATCTCCTGCTTGAGAAGGAGGGGTAGACTAGAAGGCCTCCAGGGTCCCCTCCAGCTCTATTTGATTGATTGATGGATTCTGCACCAAGACTTTGAGAAGAAGCGTGGATACGGGCTCCTGACACAACTGCGGCTTAGCCAGCCGCAGTACAGAGAGCTTCCTTTCAAGGCAGGAAGATTACCCACATGAATAAACTTTCCATGATGTGCCTTGACCCGAAGCTGGAGGGATCCACATTACGACGGGCACATCTCCGCAACTCCCAGAGAAGCTGCCCTGGAGGCAGAAAGAGTTAAGGCTCCTGCATGGTTCAGCACCTTGGACAGCTCTGGGATGACAGAGAGCGGATCTATGTAGCTGAGTAGGATTTCCTGAGTGCCAGGGTAGAAATGGCAAATTCTGGTTATTTATTTAAAACTTTTGTATCGGGGGAGTCTCCAACTTTAAGACCTGGAGTCGAAGAAGTTGCCTTTGGAAGTTGTGGGAGCTTCATCCCTGGAAGTTTTCAAGAAGAGTCCGGACTGCCATCTGTCAGAAATGGTGTAGGGTCTCCAGCTTGGGCGGGGGATTGGACTAGATGACCTACAAGGTCCCTTCCAACTCTGTTAATCTTAAATCTGCACAACTATGAGAGAAGTTGCTCCGGGCGCAGAAAGAATCAAGGCTCCTGCATAGTTCAGCACCTTGGACAGCTCTGGGAATGACCGAGCGAGAATCTGCCTAGCCGAGTAGCGCCAGGGTGAAGATGGCAAATTCTGGTTATTTATTTAAAACATTTGTATTGCGGGTCTCCAACCTTGGTGACTTTAAGACCTGTGGGCTTCCAGAATTCTGGGAATCGAAGTCCACAACTCTTAAATCTGCACAACTGTAAGAGAAGCCGCACCGGAGGCAGAAAGAGGCTTGCAAGGCTCCCTGTGTGGACAGCTCTGGGATGTGACTGACAGAGGATCTGTCCAGCTGGCTACGGGGATTCTCAATCAACCAAGTTGCGGTTGTCCCAAAGGAGCTTTCTTTCAAAAGGCAACCGGACTTTTCGTGTTTGGCTTGAAGACGTTTCGCTTCTCCTCCAAGAAGCTTCCTCCAAGTGGCCTCAAGGGCTCTCAGAAAGAATACTAACGCCCAGAGGACTGCAAGGAATATAAATCCTTCCATCGTCCACCGTTCGGTTGGAATGGAAGAAGCTTCTTGGATGAGAAGCGAGACGTCTTCAAAGAAAAAAAAACAAGAACGCACCTTTGGGATGTCCACCTGAGCAGGAGCACCAGGGTGGAGAGGTCAAATCCCGGTTATTTATTTGAAATCTTTATACAGCCCCCCATCTTGAAACCACTGCAGTTGAGATTAGACAAGGCTGCATCAAACTGACTCACAGCGAGGCGAGCTGGATGGCAGAGGCGCTTGGAAGGTGACACGTGTGTGTGTGTGTGTGTGTGTGTGTGTGTGTGTTTGTGCGTGTGTCTGAGAAAAGCTGGCAAATCCCAGCTGCCAAGAAGCCCTCCCTGCCTTGCTTGCCTGCAAGCAATAACCTCAGTTTAGATTTGCTCCCTCCGCTTTGAAGTTTCCGGAGGGGCGGGGAGCAGAGGGAGAAGCCAGGGCAACGGTGTGTGATTCAAACCCCCGCAAAATGGATTCGGAAAAGAAGGGATTTCCAGTCAGGATGTCTTGCCAGGGAACGAAGAAGGCAACCTTCCAATTTCGTGCCGGCACCTTCCAGCTTCTCGAGTCACCTGGCTTGATTCAGCGGAGGTTGGAACCGGCCCACTGCCCGAAGAGGATTTCCCCCAAGGCATGCTTAATTGAACAGAAGGATGGGAAGATGGACACGGCGAAACGGTTTGTCCAAGATCTACGGAGGATTAATGTTCAGCATCGAGGAGGTGGAGGAATTGCCTGCTCTAGAGAAGCCAGAGGTCGGTAATCTTATGGAAGATCTCTCTCCTCCCCGGCATTCTTGACTGAACAAAGTTCTCCCTGTCCATATTTCCCTGGGGGAACATCTCTCTTCTTGCAGACCCCTTCCTCGCTTTCGCCTTATCTCCTTCCAGCTCTGTGCATCTCCAATGCGGGCCGTGAACTTTAATGACGGCCAGCCTTTTCAAGGAATAAGCTAGACGAGAACCGCGATACGCAGGGAGTCACGCTGCTGCTGCTGAAAAGAGATGCAAAAAATTCTTGAAAATGTCATGACGGAAAGGATGTCAAGGACTCGCATCATCGACGGGGGAAGAGGGGGAACACTTAGAGAAAAAGGGGGGTGGAAAAAAGAGAATATGGGCCTTTTCATTTCAGCTACAGAAGATGGCCTTTCTTAGCGAATGGAGGAATCTGTAGGGCACTTTTTCCTGACCTTGTGAACTTTAAGATGGGAGACTTCAACGCCCAGGGAGATTTCTGGGAGTTGAAGTCCACCCGAATGGAGAATTTTGGGAGTTGAAGTCCACCCGAATGGGGAATTCTGGGAGTTGAAGTCCACCTGAATGGGGAATTCTGGGAGTTGATGGGGAATTCTGGGAGTTGAAGTCCACCCGAATGGGGAATTCTGGGAGTTGAAGTCCACCTGAATGGGGAATTCTGGGAGTTGAAGTATGCCCATCTTAAAGTTCACAAGGTTGAGAAAGAATGCTGCAGAGGGCCCGTGAGATGGACTTGAAGCAAAAACCCATTACATAAAACAGCCAGTTGTTAAGTTAGCAACATGGTTGTTAAGTGAATCTGGCTTCCCCATCGACTTTACTTGCTAGAAGGGGAATCACATGACGTCAGGATGATGCCCCCGTCATAAATACGAGTCAGTTGCCAAGCGTCCAAATTTTGATCATATGGCCACGGGGACGCCGCAACGGTCGCACGTGGGAAAAACGGTAATAAGTCACTCTTTTTCAGTGCCATTGTTAAGTTTGAACAGTCACTAAATTAAGGGACTGTTAAGTTGTTGAGCTGAAGACTCCCTGCATGGGGTTAAGGTTTTGCACCACATGGGGCAAATGTGCAATTAGCTGATTTGGGCCTCAGAAGGGGGGCTTCTTGGGTGGGACGGATAGAAGTTGACAGACATTGCGAGGGGTACAAGAAGCAGCAGCAGCAGCAGATGGGAACTGAAAGCCGGGAAGATTTCCTGACCGGAAGAGAAATCGAAACAGTCTTAAAACAGAATGACTTCTCCTCAAAGTGGTTTTCCACAAACCCAGGGTGGTGTGGCGGGTTGGACTAGATGACCTCTAAGACCCCATCCAACTAATCCATTCTGTGACTTCAAGCGAGAACCCCGACTGAGATGGGTAACTTTGGGGCAGAGGGGGTGGGGGAAATGTCATCCTTTTTAGCCACGTGCGTGTCCATCTCGGTGGGCTACGCCGAGGTTCTCCGAAAGGAAAGCAGAGCCCACTATTCTTCTACCGTCATCCCTATTCAGGCCCGAGACCGAATCCTGAATGATGCTATTTGTTGAACTGATGGGAAGGGGGAGGGGGGATTTAAAAAAACAATTCCTGACCCCTGAAGATGTGGGAGGGGTTTCTAGATTGAAACTAGGGAGGTGGGGCAGAGAAAGGCTTTGTGTGCGATTTCCATCACCTCCAGAGAAGTGGGACCATTTAAAGAAAGACTTTTCTTGCCGGAGATGCTTCAAATGGGTTAAGATCAGGGGTGGGATTCAGCCGGTTCGGATCAGTTCGGGCTGATCAGGGCCTGAGCGGAGGCTCTGGGAGGGTGAAAAATGGGCCTCCCGGAAGTTCCGGAAATCTGGAAATGGGCCCATTTCCAGCCACCGGAGCCTGGGGGAGGCCATTTTTGCCCTGCTGGAGGCTCGAGGAAAGCCTCTGGAGCCTGGGGAGGGCAAAAACGCCCCCCTCCATGGTGCAGAAGGCCGAGTAGGCCACACCCCCATGGCCACGCCCACCCGGCAGAGAACTGGTTGCTAAATTTTTTCAATCCCACCCCTGGGTAAGATTGGCTCAAGGCCCCATCCCTCTGCCCCACTGAAGGACAGCTTCCTAAACCCCACTTAGGGCTCTTCTTCCGATTCATCCTTCCGATTGCCCCCCATCCTTCCTTGGCTCCCAACCTGCGAGTGAGAATTGGAGCTTCAGGAAAAGCACAGGAGATGCTACCAAGAATGCCAGGGCAGCTGCCCGCTGTGCCCTACTGCCTTCTTCCCCCCCCTCCCCCGCTTCTGGCAGAAAGGAAGAGAGGGCCGGGTGGTTCCAACCTCCGCTGTTTGGGGGGTGGGGGAAGAGAGAAGGGGGTGACGGCAGCCACCGCTTTGTGGTCCCCTACCTGCCGGGTATCGTTCGTTGATGGGCCAGTTGTCCACCTGCAGCGTTGCGTTGCCGCCGCTCCGGGTGAAACGGACCACGTGGTACTTGCCATCGTTCACCATAGCATTGCTCTCCTCGATTGTGATGTCGTCCGTGCCCACGTTGAAAATGACGCCCACAGTCCCCTGGTCCTGCAGAGAGCGGGGGAAGGGGGAGGAGGAGGAGGAGGAGGAAGAAGAGGCAGAGAGAGGAAGGCAGAAAGGAAATTGGGTCAGGGGATCTCGAAAAGCAGGGAAATCTCCAGCTGGATTGCAGAAATTCTGGTGTTTCTTGCAAAAATTCCCCACAAAATAAAGGAATCCTGTAATATTACGATCAGCTTTGTGAGGGTCTCCAGCAGTCATTACCTGAATACCAATTTCTCCAAGAGCTCAAGGATGTATGAATAGAATAGAATGGAATGGAATGGAACGGAACGGAACAGAACAGAACAGAATAAATATAGCGTAGAGTAGAGTAGGAGTAGAGCAAAGTAGACTAGAGTGGAGTAGAAGGGTAAAATATAGAATAAATATAGAATAAAGTAGGAGTAGAGTAGAGTAGAAGAAAGGAGTAAAATTTAGAATAAATATAGAGTAAAGTAAAGTAGAGTAGAATAGAATAGAATAAATATAGAGTAGAGTAAAGTAGACTAGAGTAGAGTAGAAGAGTAAAATATAGAATAAATATAGAGTAGTGTAGGAGTAAAGTAGAGGATAGTAGAAGAGAAGAGTAAAATAGAGAATAAATATAGAGTAAAGTAGAAGAGAAGAGTAGAATAGAGAATAAATATAGAGTAGAGTAAAGTAGAAGAGAAGAGTAAAATATAGAATAAATATAGAGTAGAAGAGAAGAGTAAAATATAGAATATAAAGTAGAGTAGAGTAGAGTAGAGTAGCATAGTATAGTGTAATGTAGTGTAGCATAGCATGGCATGGCATGGAACGGCATGGAACGGAACGGAATGGAACAGAACAGAACAGAACAGAATAAATATAGAGTAGAGTAGAGTAGGAGTGGAGTAAAGTAGACTAGAGTAGAGTAGAAAAGTAAAATATAGAATAAATATAGAGTAAAGCAGGAGTACAGTAGAGTAGAAGAGAAGAGTAAAATATAGAATATAGAGTAGCGTAGCGTAGTGTAGCATAGCATAGAATTAGAATTCTTTATTGGCCAAGTGTGACTGGACACAAAAGGAATTTGTCTCCGGTGCAAAAGCTCTCAGTGTACATATAAACAGCAAGTCAGACGTCAGAGGTCATAAATCATAGTTACAATTCATTAAACCTAAGTTTAATTTATGAACAATTGATCAATCATAAGAAACCAATAGGAGAAAATAGTAGGAAAGATGAGAAGTGAGACAATGCTGTGGGAATTAGTTGTTCAGCAGAGTGATGGCACGGGGGAGGGAACTATCTTTAGGTCTAGTTGTTTTATAGTAGTAGAGCCTTTATTGTCATTGCACATCATATATACAATGAAATTGGTTTTGGCCTGCAATGCCCTATAGCGCCATCCGGAGGGGAATAGTTGAAACAGTTTACATCCAGGATGTGAGGGGTCTGTAGCAGAGGTGGGCGTCAGATACCGTAACAACCGGTTCGCCCAACACTGGAAATGTGAGCACACGCCACCCGCATGCATGCGGCATCACAAAACAGGGGAATTCACTTGCATGCACCATCAGCACGTGTCCAGTGTCAAACAACACAGTGATATAGCACGGCATTGAGCCCGGTTGCTTTGCTCGCGTATCCCATTGCAAACCGGTAGTAAAGGTAATAGAACCCACCCCTCGTCTGTAGATACTTTCTCCTTCTGACCCATGCAGTATATAGGTCCTCCATGGAAGGCAGGCTGGTTGCAGTTGGTTTTGCTCCAGTCCTCACTATCCGTCGAAGTCTGTCCCTCTCCTGTCTGGTTGCTGTGCCAAACCAGACAGTTACAGAGGTGCAAATGACAGTCTCAACAGTTCCTCTTTAGAACTGGATCAGCAGCTCCTGGGGAGGTCAGAGCTTTCTGAGTTGGTGCAGGAAGGACATCCTTTGTTGTGCCTTTTTAATATATGTGTGTATGTATTAGGGGTGAAATGCTACCGGTTTGGGCCGGTTTGCCCCGAACTGGTAGTAAAAAATGCTTTAAAAAAGTAAAAAAAGAGAGGTTCCCACGATCGCACGGCACAGCTGATTGTCACAGCTGATTGTCGGAACCATTTTTTTTACTTTTTTAAAGCATTTTTATTACCTACTCGCCCCAACCGGTAGTAAAAAAACCCTTTAAAAAAAGTTTTTAAAAGGTTCCGACTATCGCGGGCACAGCTGATTGTCACAGCTGATTGTCACAGCTGATCGTCTGTTCCGACTATCGCGGGCACAGCTGATTGTCACAGCTGATTGTCCCAGCTGATCATCACAACCTTTTTTTAAAAACTTTTTTAAAGCATTTTTTACTACCTATTCGCCCCAACCGGTAGTAAAAAAATGCTTTAAAAGTTTTTAAAAGGTTCTGACGATCGCGGCCATAGCTGATTGTCACAGCTGATCGTCGGAACTTTTAAAAAACTTTTCTTAGTTAAAAAATGCTTTAAAAAAAACGTTGGCCAGGCCCACCCAGTCACATGACCCCACCACCACCAAGCCACGCCCACAGAACCGGTAGAGAATTTTTTTTAAATTTCACCACTGATATATATGTATGTGTGTGTCTTATAGCAGTGTATCCATTGCCTACTCCACAACAACAACCCTGTAAAGGGACACTGGACTGAGAAAGAGACAAGAATTGGTCTATTTTGTGAATTTCCACACCACAAA